ATGATCTATGTAATTCTCTAACAATTATTTTTGTTGGTTGTCAGATTCCATAAAGAAGTCAACTAAAAGATATTTTGACAGTTCGAAAGACAAAGGTTTTTGATGGAGTTCAATAACTTAGTCCAAACAATCTACTCCATCGATATGTTATAATGAATCAATCAACAATCAATAAGTTACTTGAGGACGATGTCCCAGAGTACTCCTGGGTAACAATGGGAATTTCCACTGAGGTAGAAGCAGTTGAAAACAGAAGGGCAACTTATATTTTTAACCTTCGGATCAATACATCTGAGCCTAACACCACAATACTTATACCGATAAGTGTGAGGTATAGTAACAAGGCATTGATATTTTTATCTACCATTGTTTGTGTTGTAGTGCTATCTTAGATGTTAACGGTATGAAAATTTCATCTCGTGACGTTGCTGAACATCTTTCAAAATGAATGAATGAATGTGCAAATGGATGATAAAACGTTGAAAAAAGACATCGAGGAAAACGCTGTACAAGATACCGTGTGCATAATTGCTTGTGATAATAAACCGATCAATGAGTATTCTAATTTAAATCTTTTTTTTGGTATCTTTCCTACATCTTTTTCCGTATGGATGTGGTGCATTTGAAGATTGCTCTCGACCAATCCAAATCAATTTTCGTAAGCACCTCAGATATCTTCTTTCGTAAAAAGATCGCCCGTTTTGAAGAACACTACTCATTCATATTTGTTGTCTTCAATATTTTACAACGTCGAACAGAATGTTTTCATGCCCAATTAGTGACAAAAAGACCGTGGTTTCAACAATCTGCCCAAGTTCTTAACTCATTGAGCTCTGAAGATGTAACAGCAGCTCTTATTAATATCTCAAAAGCGCCTTATTCAAAGGTTACTGATGAGAGAATAAATACGTTGATGAAGCATATCAAAATTATTGGTGGTTATGTCATGGGCTCAGCTCATTCACGATCAGCTCTTCGGGCGAAAATTCATTCTTTGTGCTTTTATCTTGGTCTTCCTAGTCTTTTCCTCACAATCAATCCAGCTGATATCCATAGTCCAGTGGCACCTTACTTTGGAGGTGTCGATCTTGATCTTGATCACGTTCTGTCAGAAGTCCTGCGTACAAGTTATGAGCGTGCTCAAATTGTCGCGACGCACCCTGTTGAAACTGCAAAGTTCTTCAACTGTTTAATAAAAAACGTTCTGAAAAGCCTAGTGGTCGGTGGTATGCTCGGTCCTACAAAAGGGTATTTCGGCACTGTAGAGAGTCAAGGAAGAGGATCGCTCTATTTACATCTCTTGATTTGGCTCAATCATGAATATACTCCAGCACAGTTGAAAGAAAATATACAAAATCAAGATTTTCGTGAAAATTTACTAAAATATTTAGAAGATATTATAAAAGAAGATTTTGGTTTGTTTCGAGGTAATATATTTAATATTGTTTGAATTTGTGTTTTGAAGTTTTTATATTTGCCTACTTGATACTGTTTTACACACTGATAGTGTATCACTACCTTACCTTGAATTGAGGTTTCAGAACATTTTCAAAATTTTCATTAATCCAAAATATATTTCATTCCAATCACCTACTCTTACTACATATTTGAGACTTCTAAATTTTGTACTTTTAAATATCAGTATTCTTTTTTAAGATGAAACCAACGACGGAACAAGTACAACCAGTGACAGAAGAACATTAAATGGTGAGCTCTGAAACTTTTAAGAATCTTTAATGATGAGTTTCGCTTCATTTTAGGAGAAACTGAGCCAATAGCAAGTGAAGTTATACCAGCATGTCTCTCAACACCAAATCCTGCGTTGGAAGTCTTTGATCAAACGTTTCGCAAAGATGCAGTTCAATTGGTCGAAACCTGCAATATTCACAAGCATTCTGCAACTTGCTATAAATATTCTAAAGGCAAAAATGATAGTTCAAAAAGGTGTCGAATGGGCATGCCACACGCACTAGTGAATGTTTCTAATATTGACCTTACAATAGGTCAGATAACCATGCGTCGATCGCACTCGTGGATCAATAACTTCAACGAATGGCTCTCAAGTGTGTGTCGATCGAACAGGGACATGAAGTTCATTTGGAGCGGTAACGATCCTAAAGCATTAGTTTACTATATAACTGATTATGTAACAAAATCTACTCTGGTTTTCCACGATATGTTTGTGCTGGCACAACAAGGTATCAAATCTATTGAGCAGGAACGGACATCTAATATCACAGATAATATTGTTGAAAAATCGCGTAAACTAGTGTCACGCTGCTTCAATATGATTGCTTCACAACAAGAAGTTCCAGGTGTTCAAGTTGCGTCATATCTAATGAACTATGGTGACTACTACACTACACATACGTTCAAAAATCTTTTTCTCATTTCAATCGAAAACTATCTACAAACAGAACTAAATAAAGCACGAATTAACGAAAAAGAAATTGTTGAAGAGAGAATAGATGGTAGAATCTTTTAAAATAATTGTATAGATTTTTAACATATTGTTTTCTAGAGACTTCAACGCCTTTGTACGATGAGCAAGGAGAAGATAAAAACGAAATCGAAGAACAATTTTTATTAGAACCCACAAAAACCAACAACGGCGATCAGTATGTCTTGGTCAATACTCGTCTTGATTATCAGCATCGATCAAAGGATCTTAGTGCAGTGTGTTTATATGATTTCGTCAGCCATTTTCATAAGAAGGTTATCGACAAATCGGATCGTCGTTTACTAAAGAATGTAACCAATTCTCAAGGCCAACAATTACCTACAGAAGGAACGAAAATGAATGAACGTCATATATTTGACAGCGCACATCCGCAATCATTATCTCATCTCATAATTAAACGTTCCATTCCAGTAGTACCAGTCCTGATAGGTCCTCAAATACCTCGCCGCGAACGAGAAGAAACGCATGAACGTTATTGTCGCGCATTGTTAACATTATTCGTTCCATGGCGATCAGTTCAGGACCTTTGTGCACTAAATGAGACATGGTCAGAAGCATTGGAAGCTCGAAGATTATTGATCTCTTCCAACTTGCTTAAGATTATAGAAAATATAGAACTTTTGCACGAATGCAAACACGATCGAGATGAGCACCTGCATCAAGTTCTTTTAGAAGCCCAAAATGAAAACAACATTGACCCTATTCTGATGCCTAACTACTATGAAGGTGATGAAAATGCAGACGAAGAGGATCCGGAACAACTTTTGCAAATGCTCTCCATCGTAAATGAGACCACCACAAACGCTTACTCTGCATTGACAGTTACTCAAGAACAACGCTATGTTCATGATGCATTATAAGCAATTGATAATACAGACAGATTTGCACTACTCAATGGTGAGTTAATTACTGTCATATTTCGAAAACATTTAGTTTGATTTAGACCGTACACGTTGTCTGGGTGAAAATAATTATGGTATCATACACGATGTCCACACATTTGTCGTAGCTCGCGAGCATCATACGACCATGATTAAAGAGTGGAAACGTGATATTGAAGCCCGACGAGACGAAACAAGAAACTATTTAATTTCAGGTGAAGATACTCTGGAAGTACGAGATGATGAAATACAGATTGAAGTTGTAGGTGCTGAAATTCCAACAAGCCCAATTAAAACGAAAGCTACGAGAGTCCTACCTGTAACTGCAACCAATTTGGTTTTATTTCCCACAAAACAGGATATCGTCAAACAATTTACACTAAATACTCAGCAAAAATATGCTTTCATGATTATAACTAGTCACTTAGATGGCGAAAATCATGCTTATACCGGTATATTTTCTTGATTTTGTTATTGAAAATTTTAAATAGTCTTGATATTTAGGTACTATCGATAATCAGTTATTAATGTGCATACCTGGTTGTGGTGGTACTGGAAAATCTCAGTTAATTCGTGCAATTACCAAGTATTTCCAAGTAACCAAGAGGGGCAAGATGTTGCGTAAACTGGCGCCAACGTCTATAGCAGCAGCTGAGATTGACGGATTAACTACCCATTCATTTTTAGGTGAAAGTCGCAAAAGCACTAAAAAGAAAAATACCCGTACATTTAGACCTGGCGATACGAAATTGGAAAATGAATGGCGTCATGTGAAGTACCTGACAATCGATGAGATGAGTATGGTTGGACTTAGCCTATTAGCTCGTCTCAATCGAATAGTGAAAACAGCCAAGCACGTAAATTCTGAGATACCTTTTGGTGGTGTCAATGTCATTTTCTTTGGCGACTATCTTCAATATTCTCCTGTTTTAGACAAGCCACTCTACTATAACTGCGCATCGACACAGCAAATTACAGAACGTCAGATAGATATGTTATGTTCACAGAAGCTTATGTCTTAAATAAACTGCGTTGTTGAATTAACTCAGCAAATGCGAACCGAAGACATAAGATATTTGGAGCTTTTAAATAGATTAAGAAATGGACAATTGACAATAGAAGATTACCAACTTCTGTGTATGAGAGTCATAGGAAGTCCAAAACTTCAAGTATCTCTACAACAAAAGCCATGGAACGAAGTATGCACATTCATTTTCTCTGTGTATCACATTACTTTTCTTTCAATAGGCTCCAATACTGGTTTTTCGGAATACGCTACGCACTCAAATTAATAATAGAGCTGTCTTAAACAAAACAATGGAAATGGGACTTACCCCAATTGTATGTATTGCTCAAGATTATATTCAAGGAAAAACTGTGGATGATTTACGATTACGTCAAGCGATACTTGAATTACCTGATAATAAAACAGAACATCTTCCAGGCTATTTATCTCTCGTACCAGGAATGCCAGTTTTACTCACAGAAAACGTTGCTACTGAGCTCGGACTGTCTAACGGTACACGAGGAATCTTTCTTCAACTTGTATACAATGAATCACCAGAAGATGTTCGATACCAAGATAAGAATTTTCCATTAAATACCAAGTTTATAACGCAACCAAAGTACGCTTTAGTAGAATTTCCTGGTTGCAAGCTTGATAACAAACTTGCTGAACTACAGTCCAAAATAGTTCCTATAGCTATTAGTGAACAAACATTCTTGTTTGACGCCAAAGAACTTCTTCCAGCAAATGTAGCAAAAGCGGCTAAAATTAACAAGAAAACAACAAAACTCACCGTCAAACGTAAAGCACTTCCACTTATACCAGCATATAGCATGACTACACATAAAAGCCAAGGTCAAACACTCGGTAAAATTATCGTCGATCTGGTGATGCCGCCTGGTCCAATTGAACTCGCATCGGTTTATGTTTCATTATCTCGTGTAAAGAGACTTGACGATTTACTAATCATACGTCCATTCGAATTTGGAACACTTCAAGTTAAACCATCAACGGCCCAAATAGAAGAACTTAAAAGATTAGATAAAATAGCACAAAGTACTCGGAAACGTTTTCAATTCATTGTTAAAACAACAACGTCCCAAGAGTGCCGTGATCTTCAGGCAAACCATCTAACTGATGAAAAAACTCTATATTGCATGCTCGAAATCTGTCCGTTATACAATTATAGCCATTAGATCATTTGTAAAACCTCTATGAAACTCTATTTGAAATAAAAGCCATCAAGATAAAAGAGAATGAAAAGAATTTGAACAGTGTAAACCCGCTGTATCCGTAGGAAGTCACTATTGCTTCCGCATTCAATCCGAATCCCAAGCAGCATTTGACAGCTATACACTACAACAAAAGCTACATTTCACACGCGCCATATCAGAAAACTTTCTTAAGTACGGATTTCAGAAAGGACCAGTAATGACAACATAGTTTTCTTACCAACATCGCCGCTAATACTCGCAGTGCACTTTCATGGGACCTCGTCGTAATAAACCGACAAACTATATCGAGAACTAAAGATAATCGAACGACCCTCATTTCATTAAATAAACTTCCATAAACAACAAGCATAGTAGCATTAGCTACCACACCCCACTAAAAATTCCAGAAAATATCGAAGAATACTGCCTCAATAGGTTTTCCAACCATCCTCAAATCTAAACTTTCAGTTGCAAAACATATAAGGAGCATATAGGTGCAGGATCAGTGGGCCTCGCTGTGGGATGCATAAGAACACGTTTCATTTAATCCCAAGTCCAAACACACACCCACACCCCAACCCATCCAAACGTACCCAACATCTACACCCACACTCACGCACACCCAGACCCGCACACTCACATCCACAGCCACCCACACCCATATATACACCCACACTCACCACAACCACACTCCATCAAAACCACACCCTACATCATACCCCACTGACACCTACACCCACACTCACACCCTCACCCACACCCACACCCATTCACCCTCAAACCCACTCGCATCCACTCACACCCTCACATCCACACCGAACTGGAAACCTTAAATTGGTGCAACTCCGAACTCACAAAATCTCATTGGTATAAAAGTAACGCTCGTCCGGGGACTCGCTCAGCTCTTTCTCCTAGAAATGGTGTTTCTGAACTATCAACAAACCATTTACTTGTACAATTTCAAAAAGTGCGAACATACAAGCAATCAAACAATTTATTTTTGCTAGACTCTTCTCTACGAGAAAGGGAATAAAAATTCTTTTTTGTAAAAAAAATGGCCCTTTGTTTAAAAGAATGATCCACAAAATAATTTCAAAAAACTGACCTCAGATTCGAGTTCCTCGACCTCGATTACCTTTGACCAAGCTTTATAAAAAAAATTATTTTTAGCAAAAAAAGTGATTCTTTGTGTAGAAACATCGATCCAAAAAAAAATTTCAAAAAATTAACATCAGATTCGAGTTCTTCGACCTTGATTACCCTTCGGTCAACCTTTATAAAAAAAATTTTTTTGTAAAAAAAAGTGATTCTTTGTGTAAAAAAAAATCGATCCGAAAAAATTTCAAAAAATTAACATCAGATTCGAGTTCCTCGACCCTGATTACCCTCCGGTCAGCCCTTATAAAAAAAAATTTTTTTTGGTAAAAAAGTGATCTTTTGTGTAAAAAAAATCGGTCCGAACGGACGGACGGACGGCGTCACGAACATACGAACCTTGCTCGGTGTATGACCCTCCTTTCAGTAGAGGGAACAAGAATGTATAACATGTCAAGCAGTTTTATCAAAATGATTAGATCCTTTATCAGAATGGTTATCCCGTATTGAAGTCGGATATCATTCTGGTTACAATATGATACATTTTACACTGATTCAATCTCTTTCTAATATATAAAATTCATCATACATCAATAAATAATTATCATAAATTAAATGAAAATTTTCAAGAAACATTTGAAGAATTAAAAATTATAATTGATCAAATGGCTAAACAATGGAAAATATTTTCAATAACTGATCTTGTTTATAATCATGTTGCAAATGATTGTCAATTACTTAAAGAGCATCCTGAATGTGCTTATAATTTAATAAATTCTCCACATTTAAAACCAGCTGTACTTATTGAGTCAATATTAATACAATTTACTCGTGATGCAAGTGAACGAAAACTTTTATCAAAAGGTATTTCTTGGTAATATTGAAGAACATCATTTACAATTAATTCGTCATTATTTAATTGATGAAATTATTTCGAAATATCGTTTATGAGAATATTATATGTATATGATATTGATTTAAGTATTCAGTTATTTAATGACGAAAATTTAATTGAAATAAATCATGAAATATATGAAAGAATGAAAAGTTCAATTGATCTTAATTTAGCTAAAATAATTAATTTTTTTAAAAGAGAGAATATTTATCTATTAAAGAACAATGGATAAATGCAGCAATGTTCAAAATTACGTGATCGTCTTCAATTTTTAAAGAATTTAATTCGAAATAAATTAAATGGATATTTATATCGAGCTATTGATAATTCAATAGTTTCGTGTCGTTATTATTCTTTTTCATCAGATGGACCAAAATATAAAAGAAATATCTTTACCATCAACATCATTTGTTGAAAATTATTTTTATTATCCAAATGGAGAATTTAAACATCCAGATGATATTAATCAATTAGTTGAATATGATTATAATTATCAATTATATCTTATGGCTCATTATGGTTCGATTGGGTTATGAATGATGATCCATTTAGATCTTTTGCTGATCCAGGTTTTATTTTTATTTTCATTTTCATTTTTGTTTTTTTCTTATTTTCTTTTTTTATTTATTTAAAGGACAATATGCAATATGTTTATTTATGTCGAGATTTTACTTCAATGGTCTGATTTAGTAAAACTTCGTTTTGGTTCACGACGTGAAGATTGTCCATCATTATATAGATATATGAAAGAATATACACGTTTAATAGCCAAAACATTTCATGGTTCTCGTCTTGATCATTATCATTCAACACCATTATGGTTTGCAGAACTGAACTTTTTACTCGAAATATGTCTATTGATATTCATTTTATTAATCAAATTGGAATTAATTCATTAGTTAAACAATCTTGGAGAGCAAATAATGCATATGAATTAGCTCAATATGTATCATTAGTAAGTGAAGATGATCCAATAGATTCATTTAAAAAAAAAAATAATTATCGTCAATTATTATCAAATAAACCATATTTATGGTTTTATGATAATACACATGATAATCCATGTCAAATTGAAAGAAGATCAATTGAAGATACAATAACACGTTCAGTATGTGTTTCTATGGCTTATTGTTCAACTGGTTCAAATCGAGGTTATGATGAATTAATTCCACATTATATTGATGTTGTTCATGAAACAAGATTTTATTCTCGATGGGATTTGAAATCAAAACAAACTAATGATAAAAATTGCTATGATTTATTTTAACAAAAATTGTTAATCAATTACATATTAATCTTGTATAAGAAGGTTTTACTCAGGTTTGTTCGTTGTTTTTTTAAATCTAAATAAAAAACGAACAAAATAATCAATTTAAATTACTTTAAATAGAAAAAAGATTTATTTTATAAATAATAAAATAAAATTTTTTAAAATTAATTTATTGAGTTAAATTAAAATAAAAGTATTTTTTATCTATTAAAATAATTAAAAGTGAAAAAGAAATTTCGAGAAAAATTTTCATAAATGATGTTTTTGCTTTTTCTAGGTTTTATTATTAACTTAAGCAATATTGATATTAATTATTTGAATAAATAAAATGTTCATAGAACTAGTGAAAAGAAGTTTCTTGTTATTTTTAATGAATTTGAAAATTTAATATGAAATAAAAGAACAATTTTAATAATAAATATTTCTATTTATAGAATATTAAATTATCGTTTGTTCAACTAGAATTAACTTATATCTAATTTAGTTTTATAATTAATTTATAGATTAATAATTTACTAAAAAAAATAACTTTGTCAAATAGAGAAGAATAGATAAATAAATAAATAAATAAAAAAACTTTTTTTTTTGTTTTTGTTGAGTTTAATTCTAATATATTTAATTTAATTTTAATTAAAAAAAACCAAATTGTTTAGGTATTAGTTGATCAACTATCAAAAAGTGTTTTATTAATAACACGTTGTAATCCTGAAAGGCATACATCGATATTATTATTAGTTAATACATCCTTTATTGATGAAAATGATAAAAATATTCGTATAAGTCCATTATCAATTGAAGGATTAATAAATAATAAAGAAGATAAAATTTTTTGAAAGATCAAATGAATATTTAAATATATATTTAAATGAAAAAATTTCAATAGAAAAAAAAAGTCGTTTTATTAAATTAACATCATCATCAAATTCAACTGATTATGTTGCTTTTCGAACAATTGAATTTACAGAAGAATTTCAATCAGATTGAATTATATTATTAGAAATATCACTTCTTCCACATATTCATCAATCAGTTATTAATATAAAACAAATGTCAAATCAATTTAAATATTGAACAAGTCAATGTAATCAAATAATTCAAAAATTAACATTAGTTGATCTTGATCGTATTCTTTATGATGGAAAAGGTTTTTATGTTTATTTAATATCTGATTGTGGAAAAATTTTTTATTGTGGTAATCATGGACAAATATCAATTTTAGATAAAATTCGTTTATTTAATCAACTTAAACATACATTTTATAATAATTTAAAACAAGGAAATTGGTTAATGGAATATACTGTTAATAGATTAACAATTCTTCAATATACAAAACAGGTTTTTTCTTTTTTCTTTTAAACAAAAAATAAATGTTTAGTTAGGAATTAATGGTATGAAAATGTGGGTGTGGGTGTGGGTGGGTGTGGGTGGTGTGGGGTGGGTGTGGAGTGTGGGTGTGGGTGTGGGTGTGGATGTGGGTGGGTGTGGGTTGGAGGAAGACAAGACCAACACCCACACCCACACCCACACCCACACCCACCCACACCGACACCCACCCACACCCACACCCACCCATACCCACACCCACATTCACACCCACACTCACATCCACACCCACACCCACACACCCACACCCTTCTAAGAAAAGTTTTAAATCAAACGAATACAAAAATCTCAATGAATATAGATGTGGTGATAAATTGAATAATGTTTGTCATTGATTCTAAGTACAACTTTCACCTAATATTAATTCGAGTGTAGTCAGTCGATTTTATGAAGATATAAATGACAAGAAATTATCATCAAAAGGTATACTAATTTTTACATATTGAATATTTAGAAATTGAATTGGTAATATACTTGAATTATCCTTTGTATTCGTTATATATTCAAAGCATTTGACTCGTTTACATCACCAAAACTTTGTTTCATATGGACTTTTCTACGTGATAATATTGTATATACCATTGATGTTGTTTAATACAAAATGGATTTTTATATGTATCAATTAGTTTATTAAATTGTTCATCAATATTTCTCTAATTTGAAAATTCAAAATACATATGTAATCGAAAATATTTTAACTTAGGTAAATATTTCATAAGAATTCTTTTCCATTCATTATCATTTAAATAAATATCCATTGTTTTTAATGCTAATGAATATAAATTTGGTGTCTTTCGAAAAAGCTTTTTCATAACTGATACAGAACTTTAAACGGTCAATTTTAATGATGTGATTAGTGATGTTACAATACAAATTTTTCTAGAATTGATATTAGAATGAATAATTGTATTAAGATATTGAAGAGAACCCACGGAAAAATTTTTTTCGAAAAACCGGTCGACACCGCGATTTTTTTCTTTCGGCCGCGATGTTACCAAAGAAAACCGCGGTTTGAATTAAATAACCGCGGTTGGTAGCGGTTTTTTTGAACCGCGGTTTTCTCAAACCGCGTTGCTCGTAATCATAACCGCGGTTCTAAATACCACGCTATTCAACGGTCTAAAAAGTCGCGGTATGGTGACTGGAAACCGCGGTATTTCATAGCACGGTATTCAATGGTTTTCAAAACCGCGGTATAGTCATAAGCAACCGCGGTATTGAGTGGTTTTTTAAACCACGGTGTATTCATCAGTAGTCGCGGTGGTATATAAGGGCGGTACTGAGCGGTTTTCCAAAACTGCAGTATAGTCATTAGTTATTGCGGTAATAAATATCGCGGTATTCAGCGGTTTCTAAAACCGCGGTTTAGCCATTAGTAACTGCGGTGACGAATACCGTGGTATTTAGCGGTTTGTAAAACCGCGGTATACTCAATAGCAACTGCGGTGGCAAATACCGCAGTATTCAACGGTTTCAAAAACCGCGGTATAGTCACTAGTAACCGCGGTATAGTCATTAGTAACCGCGGTGGCAAATACCGCGGTATTAAGTGATTTCAAAAATCGGGATATAGTCATTAGTAACCGCGGTAGCAAATACCGCGGTACTCAACGGTTTCACAAAACCGCGGTATGCCATCGAAGAACCGCATTTTTCAGCAGAAAAACCGCGGTGTTTTTGGTGCTTATACCATCGCGATGGAATGTGTAAGGATGAAAAGGATGTCGTGCCCTGCTATTTTCATGAAAATTTTGAATAAGTTTTCTTATTCTATCTTTCACTACAACGTAACTTTGTGGTAATGGAACTTCTAAAAGTTCACTGCAGGCTCCTTGAAGGGTGGCTCACCTGAACTAGGGTGGGTGTGGGTGTGTGGGTGTGTGGATGTGGGTGTCGAAATGTACTATTTCTCATTTGCAACACCCACACCTATACCCACACCCCACATCCACACCCACCCACACGCACACGCACACCCACACACCCCACACCCACACCCACACACCCACACCCACACACCCCACACCCACACCCACACACCCACACCCACACACCCCGCACCCACACCCACAGCCACACACCCACACCCTTCTTAGAAATAAAAAGAAAATTCCACTCTACAAAATTCTAATGTAGATAACGACATTTCATTTATTCTTCGCCTATCTACACTCACCCTCATATACTCAT